AAATAAAGTTTCGTGCATTAACCCGTGAAAAACTAGTTTTATTTAATGAGTGATGTGCGCGAAAACCTAAGAAACAAATATTATTTAATAAAATTGAAAAGCACTTCTATTTCCTTATTTTCTACGACACGCTATTGTACTCGTTCAGTTCCATTCTATATTCGTAGTTTGCAGATTTTTATCAAACTGTCAATGTATGTTAGAAACTTACAACGCTATCCACAATCATGTATTGAACTCGCGTACGATGGGTACGTCAGATAAGATATGTTCTTCTTATCTACGGTGACATAGCCCAGTTACGCTGCGTCTATTTCAAAAGTGACGTAGCGTGTTGTTTATATATGTGTACCAGTGTACCTACCTATTAGCATTTACGATCGGGCAGTATCGATAGTATAAGAACCGGTATTCTATGGCGCACTGTCAAGATTATGCGGAAGTTACAGATTTGTGGCTTTAACTTCGAAGATAACGTCCATGCCATACCTACCTCTCACATAATGTTGATTTTGAATAATTACGTCAGTACGTCATTCTCATTTTATTATGTACCACGTTGTATTACATAATCATAGGTAATTTGATATACATTAATCATTTACTGCGCTATTTTTACTCCAACTTTTGTATGTCATTTCATTTAATTAGATAAATAGTTTTATTTTATATTAAAAAGATGTTTTTACTTTATGATTCTCGATCGTCATAAGAAAATTTCATTTTCGGCTACAAGTTTACCAACAGGTTTGTTTTTTAAATACGTATCTGTTTTACTTTGCAGAATCACACGAACATCAAAGTAAAACAGTAACTTATAGGATTACTGAGAGAAGGTTATTACAATCCCGCTTGCCAGCCAACTTGAACAGCCTCCTGACTTGTAATTTACCAAGAAACTTTTCAAATGATAAAGTTTATTTCCACGTTATGTCGTCACTGTACCGTAATGAGTGTGATACGTGACGCCTACTTTGAGTGAGTCACCGTAATCCGATGACTATCTCCGGGTACCATCTAGTTCTGCTACTGTGTGAATGTGGTACTACTGTCTGTACATGACAAAATTGTTAAGTATCTAAACGCTCTCCATTACTTACTTGTTCGAAAAAACAATAAACATTATATCATTAAAATTAAATGAAATGCTTCCGTTGTTGTTTTTGCAATTAACAGTTACAGCTTATTCTTAATAAGAATGCATGGTGGTTTTATAATTAACTTCAAATGTCAGTACTTCGTTACCTGTTTTATTTCTAATCTTTCGCGAGGATTCTAAAAAAAATGTTTTAAATAAAACAGTTTAAATCAAAGCAACTTTCGCAGTTGTCGGTCATTGGATGGGTGACCAAAAATCTTCTATCTGGATTTCCTCCGTGCTTCAGAAGGCACGCTAAGCCGATGCATCTGCAGTCGTTAGTACCCGCCAATCCGCACTGGGCCCGCATGGCGGGTACATAGGAAAGGCCTGTGCCCCAGCAGCGAGGACATGAATAGGCTGATGATGATAGTTTTAATCAAAGCAGTTTCTTTTTCGAATAAGGTTCTGAGTGTAACAAACAATGAAATATTTTTGGATTTATGTAAATAGTTCTAATCCCCAGGTGAGATTGTAGTTAATCTCGGACTCATTACTAGTAATAGTAATAATAGTAACTTATTAATAGTAATGAACGTTTTCATCGTTGCACAATCGTACCACATTTGAACCGGATCAGTTATTTACGTTCAGGAAGCTTCACTAACCCTCAGCAATGAAAACATTATTTTAGCGATCAAGATCGGGAGTATCGACCAAAATATTACTAGGAAGTCATAAATTTTTAGTAATATTTGGTATTGTTAATGCTCGAAGGGAAATAAAGTAAATGAGTATTAAAATTTCGCTATTTAATAACATTCCAACTTTTCGCTCGCGATTTCGTTCATACTTACTTCGGAAACTATAGATACATTTTCAGAAAAAATTGCAGAAAGAGAAAATTTTGTTTGAGTAAATTCATTTATCTCAATACATTCTCGTTACTATTTATATGAGAAGTAACAATGATATAAGGTAGACTCCAATTTTACTCCTCACATATCACTGTCATGAGTTCTTTACCGTCGCAAGGCAATCATAATAACATTTAAGTATTAAACAGAATTACAAAACACTTAGATTTTCACACTGAATATTAATATTATAATTCCACTAAATATTGATCTTGAAATGTTATATTATCTTCCACCAACTTGATATACCCAGCAACCATATTTTCGAGATCTTATTGTTGCTCACATTTTCAATATCCTCGCCGAGAATTTCAGATAGATGACAGCATATGAAATCCAAGAAATAAACAATCAGAAACGGTTCAGAAAAGTCGAGAACCTCCCCGGCAGTCGATTCAGTACAAAGACAAATGAAAATGTATAATGTTCAAGAAGAACCGGTCCATGAGTAATAACATTCTGAGATGTCTTAAATGAACTATCTCCACTTACTTGTGGTTGTGGCCGGGTCATAATCAGGAATGGTCATGGCCGCCCAGCGTAGTCGTCAACATGCCATTACAGTAGTCGTGAGCGTTAACAGGCTTAAATAGTCTAGCTAGGGTAATGACACAGCAGATGCTTTGTATTAGCGTAAACTGCTTCTCGAGATTCAGATTGAGAGATAACAGCATATACATCGTTAGTAGCAACAATAACTGGCGCATCTATAATATAAATAACAATATTTATGTTTCGATAAATTTAATTTTAGTGAACCGTTAAGATTCATTTCAAGATTGTATTTTATGTTCAATAGTAGCATCGTGCAATATGATATTACAGCGACGAAAGTCTATCTCGCCGCCATGGCAATGCGTACGTGCGAAGCGATGTAGCTAGGGATTACTTTGAACCCGGTATCACTCAATCACTGTAATGACTTCCATTTCACCATTTCATCGATACTCAAAGACCCGCAATTTCTATTGTACAGCAGTAATAACTATTTGAGTTCCCAAAATCTTTTGAGCATTGCTTACTGACAATGAAGACATTTTAAAGTTCCAGTGACTTTGATGAGCATTGTGAATTGTACAGATATTAAACTCACCGTTAACGTTATAGTCGTTTTAATGTAGTGTTAGACAGCACTTAAGGTAGTTAAAGAGCTATTTTGTTTATAAGTCATTTTAAAGTGCTTATATAACGGTTTATAGCAACATTTTATGAAATACGTTAACTTAAAATTATGGACTTGATAATACTTGACTGTTAATTTTCTTAAATATTTAGTATTTTTTAGAAATCAGTACCATTTTCATTTAAATTAAAATAAGCATATGAAGAAGATTTTAACGTTAACAATCGTCAAGTGAGCTGACTTTCAGCATAGAATTCGCAGCGTCAAACAATCAAACGGATTTCCAATTGATTGATTCTGTGGAGCTCGAACGAGAAAGTAATGCACAGTCCGACGAACAAATGTGGCAGAATTTGCTATTGTATTGAAAAGCTGGTTTCCATAGAACCTACTTACGTACAAGTGCGTGTGACTGTAATCTATAACGGGCTCAACGGTTCTGGCAATGGACCTTGACTTGTCACAGTTACCGTCACGTTTGAATGCGACACCGCTAACAAAGTTCATTGATGTTGTAAATACATAACACTGCGTATTCCTAGAGAAAATCAAAGAAGAAACATTAAATGACCAACTTTTTTCTAATGTCATCATAACTATATTTTTTTTAATAAACCTCTAACATAAATAGTTACACTTCAATACAACATTTGGCATTATGGATTGAAGTACTCGTAGTTACCCAGAAATAACAATAACTAGGTGCCAGCTCATTGCTTACATTGGTTTTTAAATCTTCTTCGTCCATCAATAGAATTTTGCTATCTATTGAGAAAATAAGTGCCTGGCATATTTTTCTTTACTATCAATTTAGTACTGCATCAAAGTATTATTATTTTTTAACATTTAAACAGATAAAAACTTATGAATCACAAGTAAAATTTCACTCGGTCTATGCATTTAAAGATTTTTTTAAAAGTTCTTGGATTATATCCTTAATTTCCTTACCTCACAATTTACTATTAACGATCCCTTATATAACTATGCTTAGTCCTATATTATCGAATATGCAGTCTATATATAATACAGCCTTTAGGGTTATAGGATAGATGCTTTTGTAGACCCGAAAGCTTTACACCTCATTAGAGAATTTTCTATCTTACATTAACTAATCCAAGACTCGTCGCCGAACTTGTTCAGTATGTGGACTTTTGTAGAATCAATTTTATTTCACTTTGCAAATTTTCATGTGCCTTTTACTGTTCTTTTGTTTCAAATCTGATTAATAAAAATCCATAGATGTTCATTTATCATGACAGTTTTGGCAGCGATGTTAAAGTTATTTCATGTCATGTAATTGTTTTCTAAACGTGATTCGTGATGTTATAATTTATAATACACGTTTAAAAAATATTTAACTGTTAATGCAACTTTTTTCTTGATATATTTACCTATATATGAATATTCAAATATTTTTTGAATTGCCTACTAAGATATAATTATTTTTCTATGTGAAGTTAACACATTTCTTTCAAATAAAAATAAAATCTTATGAAAAATAATTATAACATTTAACCAATGCATTGTACATGCATGTAAATAAAACAAATATTTAACTATAAATACTAACAAAAAATCTAATATTATTACATATGTCAATTAATATTATAATAATCATCAGAGTCTTTTTATTACAAATTCCAAACATAACCTATTTTTTTAAACAATGTATGAATCATGTATCAACTCGAGCGCTACCAACATAAGAAAACCTACCTAACCTAACTTTTAGAATCAATGTAAGTATAACTTTAATTTACAAAAATTGTTATATACATTACATAGATGTTTCCAAATTGAACCGTTTTCTACTTTAAAATGTCTATACTTAAATATTTCCAGTAAGACCGAAAGGATTCGTATAAGTTTCAAACAAAGTTACCTGTTATTACTGCCAACAGGACCGCCAAAGCCGCCACACCTGTCGCTCCTGCCCTTTGGTGCCTCATTGTCTCTTTTCTACACGCTATTCGTTTGCGTCCTCACAGTAAAAAAAAACAACAACAAGAAAACAGAAAATTTAACCTCCCCACGGATTCTGTCTTTTGTTTCAAAACAATAAACAATTACACTCGCGTTCTTGTCACACCTTCGCCGTATCGTTCGATAAAGATAATTGTAATCACAATAGCACAGTAACGTTTTTAGCGTGTTGAATTGTCTCTATCGAAAGTTTTGAGCACCGATTTAGCAAAGTGCATCGTGGTATCCCGTTTATTCGGTTGGATTGTTCGAAACACAAGCGTGAAACTTGTTTCGTAAATAGAGCTCGGGGTAAAGGCGACAAGCGTACGTCCACCCGTTCCGAGCGCAAAGCGGTACTGTCGCGCGCGACGGAGGCGACTCTCCGTCCATGCGGCGAATTGCAGAACTACAGAGCGTTGGCGTCTCGAGTCATCTCTCTCGTATTGCAAGGATCAAGACGACTCGTCTGCGGTTTAAAAGCGTTAACGGCCGTTATAGTCCTACTACGCACGCATCCTAAAAACTAAAAACTTGTCACACAATACAATTTTCCTTGCCTTGCCTTCAGTACCGAAAAAATAGCAATTAAATTAGGGTTCAGTGCTGTACAATATAATAATGATTTTGCAATAAGTGTCAAAGAAAAACAATAGTATTAAAAAGTTAAATAAATAAATAGAAGAGTATATTAAAAGTATAAAAAGGTTTAAATAATAAGCGTCGGCAACACCTTTTATGAAGTTGATTAAAAAGTGACAGATGTAATTAATCATTCCTAAAATGAATTTATTTTCGTGAAAACTTAGATTTAAATTATTAAGATCCTGAATAAGTATAAATAAAAATTGCAACTTGCAGGAAAAAACCTTTTAAGATAATTTTGTAATTTTATAAAGACATAGGTTCAGAATTTACCAAATGATATAAATATTTCATATTTATTACCAAATTCGAATCGAAACTAATATGTTTTAAGCACACTTGATATTGGCCCAATTTCGACAAGTATCCCAGCTGCTACAATATTATATAACCATAATTTGTTTTTTACCAATAAAAAAGAGAAAGGAAGGGAGAAAAACATTTTATTGACCATTATCATGCCAAATGAAAAACACGTTAACAATATATATAAAAAAAAATGGATGCGTGTAACTTATGTACGCGCGTGAGAAGTTATACTTCTTTAGCATCATTAAAATATTTTTTAATTGCATGCAAATAATTAATAATTACAATAAAATAATAAAAGGACTGGAAAAGGATAGTTAACACAGTCAATTAAGTTCAGTTTTAATTTGAAAAATTAAATAAATATTCAAAATATTCAATTAAAATCACTACTGAATTTCAGTTATTAGTCCATATGTAATTAGCACTTGTAAGTGACTAAAACACGTTGTGTCTATAAAGAAACTAGAAACATGTGGATATATATTATAAATATGAAAACAGTGATCAGAGGCGACGAGCGTGCCAACATTGTTTTTGACAACGCGATCATCTTATGGAGGTCCGTGGATCGTTCAAAGTACCTTTCGAACAAATGTCTAATAATGGTGGATTATTAACCACTATGTGGTTAATAATCCACCATTATTAGACACTAACATTCATAACGCGCCCGCGGCCTACTTCATGGTGTTACTATTGTGTTACAGTGATGCGCGCGCATCTCGAAATTTCACTCACATGATTTTTTCATAACGCGCCCGCGGCCAACTTCATTCTGTTACTTTTGGGTTACAGTGATGCGCGCGCATCTAAAAATTTCACTCTCATCATTTTTTCATAATGCGCCTAAAGAATTATAACTTCAAAAAAGTCAAACCCATAACTTTAACACGAGATTTAAGAATAAGCTTGCCGTTCCATGTTTCAGACTCCAAAAATCAAGAGGTTCATTTCTGGGTTGTAGTATTGCATTGTTTAACAAAGTTCCCCAAGATCTGATTGAGCTTCCACTGACTAAATTTAAATCTCAGATCAAAAATACTCTTATGAATAAGGGCTATTATAAAGTTGATGATTATCTAAATGATCGTAATGCATGGACATAGTGTTTCTTATAATTTGATATTAAATGGGTATTAGTCATTTTTCATAACAGTAATATTGTACCTATCTAATGCCGCTTCCTATATACTACTTAAAATGTTAACTATAAAATTAATTGTAACTATATATTTATATTCTAGATGATGTAATGGAAAGTGACTTCAGACGTATTTCTGAAGTAATTTTTCAACTTGACGACACTGTATATAACAATACAGGGAGAAAAAAACAGCCCTTGCTGAGTTTCTTGCCGGTTCTTCTCAGTACAAGGTCTCCCGCCGTAGTTTTGCGAACCAATGGCGTAGCTTCTTGACCTTCACAAGTGCTTGTAACAGCCTAGACTGAATAAATGTCATTTCATTTCATTTCATTTCATTTCGTTTCATTTCGTTTCATTTCGTTTCATTTCGTTTCATTTCGTTTCATTTCGTTTCATTTCGTTTCATTTCGTTTCATTTCGTTTCATTTCGTTTCATTTCGTTTCATTTCGTTTCATTTCGTTTCATTTCGTTTCATTTCGTTTCATTTCGTTTCATTTCGTTTCATTTCGTTTCATTTCGTTTCATTTCGTTTCATTTCGTTTCATTTCGTTTCATTTCGTTTCATTTCGTTTCATTTCGTTTCATTTCGTTTCATTTCGTTTCATTTCGTTTCATTTCGTTTCATTTCGTTTCATTTCGTTTCATTTCGTTTCATTTCGTTTCATTTCGTTTCATTTCGTTTCATTTCGTTTCATTTCGTTTCATTTCGTTTCATTTCGTTTCATTTCGTTTCATTTCGTTTCATTTCGTTTCATTTCGTTTCATTTCGTTTCATTTCGTTTCATTTCGTTTCATTTCGTTTCATTTCGTTTCATTTCGTTTCATTTCGTTTCATTTCGTTTCATTTCGTTTCATTTCGTTTCATTTCGTTTCATTTCGTTTCATTTCGTTTCATTTCGTTTCATTTCGTTTCATTTCGTTTCATTTCGTTTCATTTCGTTTCATTTCGTTTCATTTCGTTTCATTTCGTTTCATTTCGTTTCATTTCGTTTCATTTCGTTTCATTTCGTTTCATTTCGTTTCATTTCGTTTCATTTCGTTTCATTTCGTTTCATTTCGTTTCATTTCGTTTCATTTCGTTTCATTTCGTTTCATTTCGTTTCATTTCGTTTCATTTCGTTTCATTTCGTTTCATTTCGTTTCATTTCGTTTCATTTCGTTTCATTTCGTTTCATTTCGTTTCATTTCGTTTCATTTCGTTTCATTTCGTTTCATTTCGTTTCATTTCGTTTCATTTCGTTTCATTTCGTTTCATTTCGTTTCATTTCGTTTCATTTCGTTTCATTTCGTTTCATTTCGTTTCATTTCGTTTCATTTCATTTCATTTCATTTCATTTCATTTCATTTCAATGTCCCGTTCAAATCTGCCCTGTTTGCTTTGTTCAAATCTGCCCCACGGTCATTGGAAAATAAAATATTACAAATAACGCGCCCGCGGCTAACTTCATTATGTTAAAATTTGGTGTTACAGTGATGAAAATTTCACTCTCATATTTTTTTCATAACGCGGCTAAAGAAGTATAACTTCAAAAAAAAGTTTTTGTTATAAATGGGTCAATCAGAATCCTGCCTCAGCATTACGCTGTTGCCACACACTACTAGGCGATATCTTAAAATATCATCAGTTTTATATAATTTCATAACCAACTTAGCACTAGTAAAATATATTATAATACTGTTCTTATATAAACGTGCCACAGAGAACGCACACTGAATATGGTCTAACCTAATGCATTTTTAAAGACAAACCATGAAACCTATTACTTTGCACGTCTGTGCAGAATCACAAATTAAAGGAAAACATTTGAAGGCGCGTGAACGGAACGTTATTTCTCTCGACAGAATAGGAAGATAGATTTATAATGAAGGATGAAGGACTTTTTGGCGGGATCGGAAAGCGTCAATTTAGCAGTTTTGTTTTTCTTGTTAAAAATTGTGTTGTGGCGGATGTTATTGTATAATAATGGTGGATTATTAACCACTAAGTAAGCGTTCGGGAACATGCACAAGTGTTGGCAAGTGAAACAAAATAGCGGAAAGTGTCTTTCGACGTTCCCTCAAGAAGCCCACGGGGAGGTTCCAATAAATCCCCACACATTTACTGAAACATAGAGAAAGGGGGATTGACTTGACTGCCACTTACTTTGACTTGATTTATTAAATTTGACCACGAGTGCTATAGAATTTGTAAACATTTTAACACTTGACATTGGCTAAATGCACAAGCCGTGAGAAGCCATTTAGAAAAAAAAAATGAAGGATGGAGAAGACATTGACATTTTGAAGTTAAAGATTTACTTCTCAGCAGTCACTCAGCACTGCGAAGCGTAATGGATATTAATTACTAAATTTTCTTCTTGATCTTTCTTGACTCCGCTCGACTTCCCAATCATGAATTGAATACTATTTTTAACTTTTTATATCCTTTTTATATAAGTAATTTTATTCCATCCATTTTAACCTAAAGCGCCTTCACATAAAAAATTACTAGCCAGTAATGATAAACCGCTGAGCTACTAAGTAATAACGATCTATTCCGGCTGCAAAACAAGATCTTGAGTATACAAATGTTGCTGTCAAACATTAATTGAAGGTGTATAAACGTAATAACAATCTAAATCAACCTAAATAAAAACCCCTATAAAGAGTCGTACACAAATTATCGTGACAGTTACATCGTAAAAGTTAACAAAAATGCTCATAAAATGAAAACCACTGGCTCAAACTGAATTAACTTTTATTGGGACTAAAAGGCGAATATCTCCCATCGAATAAAAAAAATATTTAAATAATTACCCGTTTCGCATCAGAAATTTATACTTAATTGGTGTCATCATCATCATCTGCCTATTAATGTCCCCACTGCTAGGGCACAGGCCTTCCCAATGGATGGAATAATAGGGAGAGTGGGCTATGACCCACCACGCGGGCCCAGTGCGGATTGGCGGGTTCTAACGCCTGCCCCTTTTTGTTCCTATTATAAGCAGGTTTTATTTTGTGACGAGCTATTCTTAGGCGAGCTTCTGAAGAAGTAAAGCTTATTTTCAACACTATTGGAGAGCCCACTTCAGGCAGCTTCTACCTCTTTAGAACAGCTTAGGAAAACAGATAGATCGACGGACAGTGAAGGCTTAGTAACAATATTCCATTATCAACCCTCTGAATAAGGAAACTTAAAAAGTTAGAAATTGTAAACTCGTGCCTGCATTTTTTTTATAAAACAACCATCTCTCATGCAAATGGACCACAATGTCATTACAATAATATTACAATGACACTTTTCCAT